GTGCTCCTCTCACTCAGTGAGTCTTGTCTCAAGGAGAAGGTGTCACTGGCTACCTCCAGCCTCTTCACTGAAGTTTCTCTCTTCACTCTGTCCATGGACTTCAATTCCTGCTTTAGATCTTTCCTGGGCCCAGGGAACCCACTTACCTCCTTTTCTTCCTCACATTGCTATATTCCAGTATCTGGATGGTGACTCTCAGAAAGGCTTTTTCTCTGTTGCTTACCAATCCACCATCTTGGAGATCCCTCCCATTTTCTTTATTTGTAAAATTTTCCACCTCTGGTCACATTGCCTACCTACTGCTAATCTGTTTTCCATGTTAGAGGTTTGCTGTTTCTCAGCTGGCATCCCTGATTGGAACCACAGAGCACAGGAAATGACTCGAATGGCTATTCTCCCAAGGACAGTTCTTAGCTAGTGCCAGGAGAAGTGCACAGTGGGGAGGAGTTAATTCATCATACAGTGGAGGCCTTGGGCATTAGTGCTCACCTCTTTCACAAAACCTCCATGGAGAAAGCCTAGAGGACATATGGAAAACTCTTCTTATTAACCCATCTGGAAATTTACTTTACTCTCTTTTTCCAAGTCCCTCTTTGAATATCTTCCTTTAGTCAAAAAACTCAAGAGAAAATATGATGTAATTGAGAAAGCACTGACATGGGTCAAGACTTCTAAAGCCAACGTCCTTGTTAGGCAGGTGTACCCACTGATAATTCACTTTTATTTATTTATTTTTTTTAATTTTAGAAATAAAAGGAGGAAAATACTAACAGACCAACAACATTTTACAAAATAGCAAAGGATCAGTACAGACATTACAGAGTTACAAACAGAGTGGTAGGGAATTAACAATGCTTATTGTATTACATATTGATATCTTCAATGTAGTTTCTCATGAAAATACATATAGACATACAAAGCTAATCAACCAATGCCTCACTGACAGTTTCTTTCACCAAGGAAATACAGGACAGTAGAACACCTGTGTTAACTATTCTGCATATACATATATACAAACTTTCTCCTTCTTTCCCTTCTCTTTTCCCATATTCCAGTTATCCTTTACCTATGAGTGCTTTCCTATCAATTCCCAATGTCTATCATATCTCCTAGTTTAAATTAACTCTTTCAGGCTTTACACTAGAGAAACAATGCTGTGCTTGCACATGTATGTTTGATTTATTTCGCTCATGGTCACAACTAGAGACCATACTCATAAGCGAGATAATTCACTTTTATTTCCTGGTCTCTTTCATTTACAGGGAAAATGTGGGCTGCATTAATGAAGGCTGAGAATTACTACATTCAGCTGTAACATTCTATTGTTTATTAAATAAATTAAACGTTGTCAACTTATCATTCTTCATTCCAATGAGAACAAAAGAATGGACAAAAGCAGAATCTATGTCACATTATTGTGTATATAAAATTTTATGTGAACATCTTGGATATTATTATACTTGATTTTTTTGTTTTAGTCATAATTACTTTTTGGCTATATTTTTGGAAGTCTCTTTCTTCATGAAATATTTTCACTTAGGCCTCCTTAGAATAAGGTAATGGTTGCCCTACCAGTTCTTATGAAGTATTTATGATGTCCTGAATCTAACCTATTTGTGGCACTTAAATTTGAATCAATTCAATCAACCAATTTTACTCTGCAATATTTTATTATGTGCATACCCTGTAAACATCACAGTAACTAAGAACTACCTAGAAATTCTATTTTAGTGGTGACTCAGCCTGCTAATTGACAATTTTAGAAGTTATACAAGACTTGTTCCCTGTGAGGAATTCCATTTTGGAGGACTATTTCAATTTTTGTTCTTTTTTTTTTTTTTTTTTAGCAATTTCATGGTATAAAGGTTTTCATATTCCAGAAGTTTTAAATTAGACATCATTTTTGGTTAGTTTTCTAAAAAGTACTCCATTTCTCAGCTTAGCATCATGGCAGCATATCCCTGTAATTAATTCTAGCACTATGGAAGGCTTAAGCAGGAGGATCACAAGTTCAAATTCAGCATGGGCAACTTAGGAACACAGCAAGACCCTGTCTGAGAATGAAAAATCAAAAGGCTTAGTGGGAAGGATTAGGGTTCAATTCTCACTGTTGAATCAACCCATTGATCAGTCAGTCAGTGAACAAATAATAAATAAATATATTTCTCCAAGAAAGAGTAAAAAGCATTGTCATTTTCTATCATGCATAATTTATCAGTCTATATATTCATCAAATTTCAAAAAAGTTATAAAGAAAATCTAAAATATATACTGAAGCAAACGTAGGCAAATGTATATCATTGTACAAAATTAGATTAGTCAAAAGAATTAGAGACTAGTCCAAATCTCTATCAGCTGGGTTCTTTATATGTTCATCAGAGCGGAGTTTAAGTGACCAAAGAAAGGGGCAGGGAAGGAAAAAACTCTCACAATTAACTACTTGCAGCTGTTAGGCACCACCTGATAAAGGTTCTTAAATAGTACATTGTTTCATGCTGACGTTCCTCAGTGTACAGAAAAGAATACGCAGTTCAGCTGATTACTTTCAGCCTGGACAACTGGAATTACACTTAAAGTTTATGGAAAACAAAGAATGAGAAAGTAGCAGTATGGGCAAGTATTGGTACTAAGCATTAAATGGAATGATCTCTTATAACCATCCCAGACTAGCCAGTCATAATATTTACATAATAATAAATACTTCTGCTAAAGTATTTAATCTGCAAAGCTATCAGGTCAATAAAACTTAAAATTTTGCTAACATTGCAGATGTACAAATTTGCCAAAGCTATCTAAAATTCTCCCATATATATCTGCATTCCTTCTCAAGAATTGGAGGGGAGCCAGGTGTCGTGGTACACGCCTGTAACCCCAGAATTCTGGGAAGCTGGGGCAAAAGGATTATGAGTTGGAGCCCAGCCTGAGCAATTTAACAATTTAGAAAGACCCTGTATCAAAATACAAATTAAAAATGGACTAGGGGTGTAGCTCAATGCAAGGCCCTGGGTTAAATCCTCAGTATGTATATATATATAAAAGAATCAGAGCTAAAAAGCTTTAGATATGATTAACTAACTGAGAGTTAGACTATACAGACATGAACACGAAGTACATGTAATATTGCACATTACAGAATTCTATTTTAATTAAGTAAAATTAATAACAAAGTTTATCTGGCAGGTTGAAACTGAAACATACTTTTAATGGGGCTAAGTGATAAACATAAATGATTACTGTTAACATTTCTTTTTTTACTATTATTCTACGTGTAATCTGTTATATAGTTTTGTTATTCATTCAATAAATGTTTGTTGAACACTTACTACATGGCATGCACCAGGTTAGGCTATGAGATTACAAATACTGTAATAAGAATAATAAAACGGTTAGCTTTCCTGATCTTTATATTTTAGAGAAAGAAATAATTAAACAGACTCAAAAAGAATGGAAAAGGATCAGCTGTCTGAGGAACCAAGGAAAAGATCTTCCAGGCTTCCAGTGACACCAGATGCGGGTGTAACTCAGCTCAGGTGAGGGAGGAGGTGCAGTGAGAGAGGCAGGGAGAGGGGCTTTGAATGATATGAGAAAAGTTTAGGATTTACTCTAATACCATAAACAAGCAGCAATATGTTTTTAATCAAGAAAGTAACAGGAGATAATCTTCATTTAAAATAATCACTCTTGGCTGGCACGGTGGAGTGTACCTACAGTAATGCCAGCTCAGCAGGAGACTGAGGCAGGAGAATCATGAGTTCCCATGTAGCGTAACGGGAAGTGTTTGAGTCATGGGGCACTGATCTCATCAATGAATTAATGCTGTTTTTGTTGGAGTGAGTTAATCATTGCAGAAATGAGTTCCATATAAGAGGACGAACTGTCCCCGTTTTGCTCTCTTTTGCCCTTTCTTTACCTTTCTGTCAGGGGAGGATGCAGCAAAAAGCACCTCACAGGTACCAGTGCTTTGATTTTGGGCTTCCCAGAATCCAAGATTATGAGAAAATAAATTTCTATTGTTTTATAAAATGTACAGTTTTAGGTATTTTGTTAAACAACACGAAACAGAATAAGACAACCACTTTGGCAACTATGTGGAGAACAGGTTTGAAGGGATCATCCACTGAATCAGAACACAGTTTAGATAAGTATTTTAGTAGTCACGAGGGAAATGGTGGACAAAGACATGAGCAGTAGACAGAATCACTAGAATTTCCCCGGGATGGTGCTAGATTTCTGGATTCTCACTGAATAGAAGATGACAGTGTTACCTCTTAAAACAGAGATAGTGGGGTTAAGGTTAGGTTTATGGTCATGGGTGTGGGAGTGAGGAAAAATATCACAAGCTCCATTCTTGGAAGTGTTATTCAACTAGAGATAACAGTACCTAGTTAGATATTCAAGTTCAGGGGGCTGGGGATTTAGCTCAGCGGCAAAGCGCCTGCCTGGCAAGCGCAAGGTCGTGAGTTCGGTTCCCGGTACCAGAGAAAAACCAAAAAAAAAAAAAAGATATTCAAGTTCAGGCTCAGAAGCAACATCTGGACTAAAGATATGAGTTTAAGAAGGCATTTAAATTCATGTAAATAAAGAAGATGTGTTTAGGGTAAAAACACAACAAGGAGGGAAGAGGGAGAGGGAAAGAGTCCTAATAAATGCTAACATTTATAGACAGAGAAGGAGGAAAACTCAGGAAATTATACTGAATGAGCTAGAGAGGAGAAAAACTAAAACAGTAGGATTTGTGCAGAAAAAAGAATCTTCATTAACGTTACGTAGGTTGAAAACTCAAATGGAGCAGACACTGACTAGACCAAATAAAATTTAAGCTATTGTTCCATTTAAATAATTTTTCTGTTATTTATAATCAATTTTAATGTTAATAGATTTCCTTGTTTACATGACTAGTAAATTGGCTGAGCATCAGACTTACCCACACTTGTACATATTCAGATTCTAGCCCTGCAAAATGTTGGATGCCATAACCTCTTCTTCACTTACCTTCACAGCTCCAGTTCTCTGTGGTACTCATGTGTCCCAGCTGCCATCCTATTCCTTGTTTCAACCATAATCCCAAGTTCCAAGAACCCAAGACCAATTATAGTAGATTGCTTGAAAGAAGGATGTCATGACCATTTTTGCTGGCTGAAGAGAATAGGGAGGTAAATATCAGGTCAAGACTGGTGGCACAGATGATGGATGAGGGAAACACGTAAGTCAAATGGACTTTATACTCCAGGTATCACAGCAGAAGAATGAAAAGAAAACGATGTGAATGAAGAAAAAAAAGGGCTGGAAGAGTTTCCTGAAAATAGCTAAAGCAGGATTTATTTGGGGGAACTCACTAAAACAAAATCTCAGTGATAGAATATAATACACTGTAGGCAAGAATAAGTTAAATAGAAACTCCTAAAAATGGTAAACATAGATGTTACTGAGAACAGTGGGAGAGATTATGTTAGGCAATAGTTCAGCCTGGAACTGATTATGATTATTATTACTGAGAACAGTGGGAGAGATTATATTAGGCAATAGTTCAGTCGTTGTTTCCACATCATGGATTAGAGGGGCCTGTAGTTCTTCCCCAAGCACATAAAGAGGATAAAGGAAGCCTTTTCAGAAATGGAAGGAATAGAATTCCTTCAGCTTCTGTAAGGATATGGGAAGTAACCATTGGTTGGAGAGGATTCTATTATCCATAGAACCATGCTTGGAAAACCTGTATGTCTATGGCTGAATTTTGAACATGTCCTCAGTGGGACAGGAAACAGAACACTGTTCCCTGGATTTGAATGGGACATGGAAGAAACAGGTGATACAAAACTGGGATGACCTTGGAAACAGGTGGCCCAAATGGGATCCAGCACAGCACTGTTGCCTGAACCATTCCTGGCCAAAAGTTTCTTCAGGGAGAATGAGATATGGGGCTCCAAATTGGTGGCATTAATAACACAATAAGTCATTGGGAACCTTAAAAAAAATGGTGAAGGAAGATGGAAAAACAGAGAGGGAAGTTGCAGGTGAAAAGAACAAACCTCAGAATAGTTTTATATGCTGTTGTTTTGTGCTTCATATTTTTCTTATGCCAAAGAAATATGTAATTATTTCCCAAATTTGTAACCTCCTTTATTTCTTTCCTCCTCTTCATACAATCTATTTCTTACATCTTCTGAGGTCAAGGAGATTTAGATTAATGAAGTGATTGAATATTTGACTCAGAGGGAAAAAAAAGAATTTGTCACTATAGTTAAATGTTCAGTCAGCCATACTAATTACATGATTTGTTGATACCAATGACCCGCCTAGATCCTATTCTCCTGAAATTATCTTTGTAACTTGATACCAGTGTGGCTGGGCAGTATACAGAGACTCCATGCCCTCGCGAGTTACAACGTCCTGTTTGAGGGTCCCGTGGTTGATCTTTGGTTCTAGCTCATTACCAGGTGGGATGCTGGAGGTACTAAGCTACTCATGGGAATTTTCTCAATCTTTTTACCTTAACAGGAATCCAAAACACGTAAGAGAACAAGGAGACCCTCAGCTCCGAGGCTAAAATGTGATAACCTGAATGAATGACCCAAAGCACAAATTCTTCCACTATGTTCCTAGCTCCACAGAAAAATGTTGCTGCAGTGTCTACACTGAAAATTAGATTTATGGAGGGCTGAAAACAATGATTTGTTGGCATGAGATCATGTACTTAACAAAAGAAAGCTTTTCTTGAATAAAAAGTGGAGAATGACATCATCTCTTTGGATTACCAAGCTGTAATGCTACAAAAGTTGAGATTTTTTCCTGCAATCATTTCCAAATCCTTTTGAATTAATTTGTATTAACAAATATTCTAATAATAAGTCCCTTCAGTAAAACAATTCAAAAGCAAAAGAATAAAATCATGGTGACCTTTTTGTTACATACACAGTTTTACTGGCATTCCTCTTGGTTTCTGAAACTGTTAGTCATTGACATGTTAAATTAAGTTTACAATAAACAAAGAGGAAAAGAATGAAATAATGTCTTATGAAGTTAAACAGAGTTGATAGTTTGGATTTCAAAGCAAGTGTCTTGATTAATTTTTCAGTTTTTACCATCTGAATAAGTAGGTCATGATTTGTTTCAGATTATGTTTTGTAGCATGTATATGTGATTATGTGTATGTGGTGTAGCTTTAGCTATATACACTATATAGCTAATTCTTTTGAGTTAAATTCCTTGTGTTGTTTCCGTATTTGTTAAAAGTATAAAAGGGAGTTTTCTAAGTACACATATATGATATGAATTTTCCTAATGGCCTAAAAAACATGTAGATGTTTGGCTTTGTTTTGAATGAATTTGGCTTTATTTTGTATGAATCATTTTTTTAGTCAATACTGACTCAGAGTAAAAATGATAGTGGATGATCTTTCTCATTTTTGCACGTTGAACTTAATATTCCAGAAGCTTTAGGCTGATTCCCAACTCTGTCTCTGAGTCATTCAGCTATATCTTCCCCCACAGGATGTGAGGAGGTGGTATGTGTGAGGCCATGAACATCCCGAAGGCATTAGTTACTCCACCCAGAGTTTTAGGAGATAGATGTACTTTCCAAAATGCAGAGCGAGGATTATACCTTGTATTTCTGCTTCTCTCCAGCAGATGAAACAAGAAACTGTAGGTGAGATGGGCTTGATTACTTGCTTTCCCACACAGTTGTACAGTGTGCTGCTTATCCCCTACCTGACCTTAGTCTATTTATTAGCTCTTTCTACAAGTGTGTTGCTAAATTTTTAAATGCAGTGGGGAATGTGATGGAACTCTGCACACATATAGATGAAAAAACTTATATTTTGAGCAGGTAAAAACCTGAACTGAAGAGAATGTGTAGAAGATATGTATTATGATCTTTTAAGGTGAATGCAATGGACTAAATTCTCCACATACACCCAACTCCCCCACACCATGTGCTGAAATTTTAACTCCTGGTACCTCAGAATGTGACTACAGTTGGAAATAGGACCTTCAAAGAGGTAACTGTGGCTAAATGAGGTCACTGGGTGGGCTCTATCTAATCTGACAGGTATCCTGATCAGAAGGGGAAATGTGGACACATAAAGAGACCCAAGGATGGGTAGGCACAGAGAAAAGACTGAATAAGGACACAGCAAGAAGGCAGCCTTCTACAAGCCAAGGAGAGAGGCCTCAGGAGGAATGAAACTGTCCATACCTTGTCTTTAATTTTCAGCTTCCTCAACTGTGAAGAAATAATTGCTTGTTGTGTTACACACCATATCTCCCGCATTTTGTTATAGGATCCCTAGGTAATACAATAAAAGGATAGGAAAATCTCAGCTTTGAGATTCACAAATCTGAACAAGACTTGTAGCACCCATGTAACCTTGAAGAAGTTGTTAAAACCCTCTGAAAATCATTTCTTCATCTGTAAATTGGTATAACAGTAATTACCTACCTATGTTTTCTCAAAGATCAAACAAACCTACATAAACAGTGTTTGACACAAAGTAGGAACTCAAGAAATATTGTCAGGAGATGGCTATATAGTGGGGGAAAGGGATAGGACTTCTTATTCTATAAGACTTGAGTTTGAGTTTCACCACTTAGCTAGGTGATTTAGGCACATTACTTAGAATTTTGATCCAGAGATTCTACATATAAAACTCTTGGAGTACATGAAGTGCTCAATAGCATGTTAATTCTCTTTGGAAATTTAGTTTACAGTCAAAATTGTAATTTTCAAAGTCATGTATCCACAGTGCGTTTGCCCAGAAAAGTGGGGGGTAGGGAGTCCAACTGGAAGGCTAAGACTATGATTACAATATTTATATTATTTATTTTCCCACCCCTGGACCTTACCCCACAATGAGTAAATAGATTGCCATTTCTAAAGAAAGAGCAACCAAACTCAATAATTCAAGAGAAAGTCTTCACCAGGTTGGTACAACAGTCATTAGTAATTCTGGCCTAGATGTGCTCACATACTGTATGACATTTAGCTACCAAACTCTTGATTACTAGATGGGAAAGTGAGTAAAAGTAAGGATAAAATAAGTAAAAATTGACATAAGTTACATGTATTGCTACTCTGAAAAGGATAAAAATAACCAAAAAGATGGGCTCAATGGCATGCATCTCTAGTCCCAGCTACTTGAGAGGCTAAAACAAGAGGATTATCTGAGCCCATAAGTTCAAGATCACTCTGGGTAATACAGTAAGACCCTTGTCTTTTAAAAAATATGAGAGGGTGAGGGAGGGAAGGAGGGCGGGAGAGGGAGGGAGGGATTACTAATAATTCACAACCAGGAGGTAATCACCATTAATTTGCTACAACTTTACAGTACCTATGATTTTGAATCTGTATTAGTAAACATTTTTATGTGTAATATTTGGAAACTGCTATTTCATTGCTTAACCATAGGTTATGAGCCTTGTGAGAGCTGTGTCTAGATGTCCCCCTAAGGCTCATGTGGTCATATGTTGTGCTTTTCAGAAGTGGCTGATCTGGGGTGTGTGATACTGGAATTAAGTGTGTTGCTGGGGATCAAGGGTGTATGATTACTGAATTAGTCCACTGAATCGCTTGGGCATGGATAATGGGAAGGTCCACCCTAGATGGGATGGAACCACCTCAAGGGCAGGTAGCCTGGAGGAATGAAAGCAAAAGGCAAGCTGCTGCTGCTTTGTTATCTTCTCCCTGCCATGAATTATTTCTCTGCTGTGATGCCCCTTTTCCATGCCACCCCATCTTGGAGTCAACCAATTATGAACTAAAACCCGTAAAGACTGTGAACTACAGTAAACCTTTCCTCCTTTAATTTTGGATGTCAGGTATTTTGTCTCACGAACAAGAAAAAAAACTAAGAGAACCCTATTTCCATGTCATTAAATAAACCACTCAACATTATTTTAAATGATTGAAAGGTATTTCATTTTTCAGCATGTGTCAGCATCTTAAAACATATCTTTTTATTAGGTATTTAGCTCCAAAACACTGTTTGTTTTTTTTATAAATCAATATAGTATTCCGCTGATGCCTGTCTGATTGATGGCTTAGATGTCATCAGAGTGAGTTGCAGTAAAACTCAGTGTGTGAAGGTGGATTTGTGGAAATGGGTGAAAACACATGTTGATTATGGCTTTGGATATTTTGGGAAAATAAAAAAGAAAGAAAATGAGAGATAGTAAAAAATACATTCCTACTTTAAATTTATTCAGGAAAAAGGAATTTTTAGGGTAGAGCATTCCTTATAAACCCAAGGATTCTTACCTCCCTTAAAATTAGTGTGTTTGCAGCAGCAACTAAGAGTTAGTACATTGGACTGTGACTCAAGAGAAATGGACTAAAGGTTCAAGATAACCCTTTGGACTGTAGCAACTGGAAAGAGAGAAATTATCTGTATGTTTATGACCCTGAATAGATGACTGTAAAAAATTCAGGTTTTAAGAAAATTGATTGCAATTGTAAATAAGCAATCTTATGTAAAAAAAGATCTTTTTGAGGTAATCTATATTCTTATATATAATGATCTATTCATTAATGATATCCATTTCTCTTTCTTTCTCTCCATCTCTGTCTCTCTATCTCTTTCTGTCCCACTCCCCAAAATAAGAGTGGACTTTTGTAATGTAATCAAATTCCCAGCTAGAAAAACATATCAGGCTTACCACTTCAACTTAGAAATGTGAAAATGGTAATGTATGTTTTGCTTTTCAAAATTTTTTCCTTTTCCCTGCTCCCAAGTCTGTGAGTCACCATTCTTTGTGAAAAATATTTGGAGTGAGAATTGTTCCTTGCCAAGTCATGTTATTAGACACACTTCCCTATCACTCAAAGAAATGACCCTTATCTCTTTCTTTCCTGGAAGAATGTCTTACAGAGGCATTTAATCTCATCCAAAATAATGGTTTAGGCTTCCTATGGATTGACCACACTGCTCTCAAGTGATTGTGTAAATACCACTACCTCATTTTAAAGAAAAGGGGTGCTATTTATGTTCTTGATTAGTTGATGTTGGTAAAGCCCATCAGTTTGGTTTTATAAAAAGAACTCCTGACAAGCAATTTTTATTGAGTGATAATTTCATATAATGGCTCAGGGAAAAAATTACCCACACTAGAATATAAAATAAATAGGTGACTAGGGAATATGCAATTCTGGCAGAAGATTTAAATATAGAATACTAAAGGGGCCTGCAGGTAGAGGCCTCAGTGGCTGGTAGAGTGCTTGTGATTCCACATATTTTGCTGACCTTATAAAGGAGACATTTGGATAGTGGGTGAATGAGAACATCGATATTCTGTGATAGTTGCAAACTGGAAGATGGTGAATTTTCAGCCTAGTCCCACAGCTCCACTTCTGCTGTAAATATAGATGAATAAAGACACCATTCATACCGTCACCTGGCCAGTGGTCCAGAGCTGATGCAGATGTACAACTGGATGTTTAAAAAAGTGATCCAGAAGATTCAAACATGATTGGTTAGAGAAGGCAGTGAACAGTAGAAGCCTGGAGGAGAGACACTAGGTAATGCAGGGGTTCTGAAATGGGGTAGGCTAATACACCCAGAGTCAGAAAATTAACCTGAAAGATGAATCTTCTAGATTGAACCAAATATCTGGGTTGTTGGAAAAGGGAAATGGAGCTGCCACTGGTCCATAGTTCTCCCCACAAACTTTATCCAGCAAACCATATTGGGAGCAGTTCTAGCAGCCTGAAGGAAGGAGGTAGACCTGCAGAGGCCAGTTTTCTAGGATAGGATCACTACGTGCATACTCTCCCTCTCATCTAGAAGAGGAAACCCAGTGTGGGACTTCACTGCAATAAGGGTCCCAGGGAAGTTGCCCAGACTACAGTCAGATAAAGGGACAGACAGTAAC